CCGTTATAACACTGTGGAGATGAGGGCAAGCAGCAAAGTCTTGGTGGACTGGATGAGGAACCACATGTACTCTGAAAATACATTACATACATTGGTATATTAAAGTCTTTGAAAAAAATATAGTATGTTCACATGCACTGAAGTCACGGTTAGAAAGTAGGTTAGCGTTCATCGGTAGAAAAAATGACTTTCCAACTGTATAACCACAACTGGACGACAGAAATTTCCTGCAGTTTTGTAAATAACCTATAGCCATGCATCGTCCTCATAAATACTCTCTACCTGGCATGGTTCAACCTCGTCCCCAGGGCTTCACTGTGAGGACGAGGCGAGACACGAGGAAGCCCTGGTCTGGGCCGGTCAATTCTGCATTCTGATTGGCTAACACCATATTGTCTAAAAATAACTGAACTTGACAGTTGACAATAACAATTCAACATTTGTATTTTTATGATTCTTGTGTGTACGAGTATGTTTTGCAAAATAATCTTTCAAAGTAAGACGTTTTCTTTCAGACAGTGCGTTTTCTCGACTGCATGATTTACTTTCGCCTTGGCCGGTTACAAAACTGAAAAGCCGTGTTGAAGTGAGCTGTGATGTTTCCTAACAAAACAAGAAACGTCTACTATTATTTAAGCTGTAGTTTTCCTTGTACAGTATTTATTAGTGCAGATGTCTGATGAAATACTACGCGTATTGCATTGTAGTAATATTTTAATTTACAATATTCTGTACTGACAAATAAAAGCAAGACAAACAATTAAATAAAGCTACTAAATTAATTTATATTAGGCCCTGTTTACTTAATAGCTCTACGCCTAGGCCGATGTAGTCTCTACAAGATTCGCACGCCACCCAGTTTTTCAGTTTCAGAATACCCCCGAATACTTGAAAATTGCGACTATACGATAAAATAAAACAAAGATTGTGAAAGGGATAAAATTTGTAGGCAAGCATTGCTCCTGAACGAAACAAGCGAATCCGTATATTCCTGTACAGCGTAAACAGGTTACGCGAAGTTTTATATTTGTGTTTATTTAATTATATTGAACAAAGTCAGATCTATAAGAGCATATTTAAACTAAATATTAATTATAGTAATAGCCGTATTGTTCAAGACGAGAGAAAGGAAATTTCGTGTGAATCACCACTTGCATGGAGACGCCTAGATGCAGTTGGATGCAGTCTTTGCCTGTAGTTGAAAATCTCCAGAAATATCGGTATATCTTAGAAAACATAGACGGGATCTTCATAGATTTTAGCTGATTCGTGCCAAACTTCGCTCTACACATAAATAATATCGATTGAGAAGTCTTTTGGCTATTTATTTGTTTCGAAGACTTGTATATTTCATTAAAGAATATCTCGCCACTCCTTGACGAGTAGCTGTCAAATACTGCCAAATTTTGTCGTCACATGACCGGACCGGACCAGGGCTTCCTCGTGTCTCGCCTCGTCCTCACACTGAAGCCCTGAGAACGAGGTTGGGCATGGTTTTGAACTTAAGGAATAAATATGTATGCTTCTCAGTACTAATTGCTTTATATAGACCCATTGCATGTGAATTAAGGAATAAATATGTATGCTTCTCAGTACTAATTGCTTTATATAGACCCATTGCATGTTAGTCAAATACGCTTTTCTTTATATAATTTTCAAGTTGCAAATCCTCAATCCAAGTTCCTGTTCTTTCCAAAGGTTCCTGAAACCAGTACTCGTGTGCTCGACTATTTTTCCCACATTTGTTAGCGTCAAAAAAGGGAAAAGAGAGGGATACGTTTGGAAACGCCTATAATACAACGCCTGCGTCAAATGATAGACTTACCTCAAACGGGGGAAAATCATAGTAACTACACCCAGCTTTACGTCGCATTGAATTTGTCACCAACGTACGACTTCCAGCATTCAACTGACATGAATTCTCGCAAACACTAAACGACATGCAACGGCAGTCTAGCGAGCATTCTACGAAACATTTCGAATGGCTTTTGACAATTTTAGTCGTCAGCTTTCGGCCATCATCCAAGAATCTGTCCTGCACTCCCTGTTCGACGTTGAAATCTATTTGACCGCATCTGTTGCAAGTTTGATGAAAACCTGCTAAGCTTTGCACCAGGATGGAAAACAACACACTGTTATGTGTAACTATACTTCCAAACATGACTTTTTCTAATAAAAATACTTTTTTACGAGCTCTTGGCTGCTGTGACAAATCACACAAACTGTCAGTTTTTTTTTAAACTTCGGGTTCAATATGCGTTTTCTCATGCATTGTTGTGGTAACGTGGTATAGTAAACATTGCGCAGCCTGTCTTCATTATATTACATTTTAAATATTAATCGTTTTCAATCATTACTACATCAATTCATATAATTCTGATTCTAATTTCTCCAATTTTCAAAATCGATTTTAAATCCGTTGAGATTACAACAAAACCACCAGTAATTAAAAACATTAGATTTACTCCAAAATATTTAATTTCAATCGAAAAAATTAAAGAACTATAAAGATGAAAATCAAGAAAAATATAGATTGAAGTTTTTAATTTTTTTCCAATTTAGATTTTAGGAATAATATACATTAATATCATGCAGGTATCACGTAGTTTATTAAACGTCTATTGAAAGTCATAAAAAATTATATGTAATAAGTGTATTTTTATTGCGAAAGTTATTTCGTTTTTTATAAAAAATAATTTTCATTATTTATTTTTTAATATTTAACAAATGAAGTGGAGAAAGACATCCTTAATTTTAAATAGAGTATAAAGCTCGTAAGTATATGCAAAATATGCAGATTAAAATCCCTATACTACATGCAGAATACAGTATTTTTAATACAGTTTATTGTAGTATTTTTAGTTAAAGCAGTCTATTGTTATGTAATATGTTGTTTTGTAATGTGTAGATGTAATATGTTGTTTTGTAATGTGTAGAGGTATTCTTTAAAGTTAGTTCCAGGGACGCAGGAACTGGGGGGCAGGGGGGGCGTCTGCCCCCACCCCCTGCTTTTTGCTAGGGGGGCAGGGGGGGCAAGTGCCCTTTTAGTTGTAAAATACTACGTGACAAATCACATTTCCAACGATGCTTTTTGTAGGAAAATCATGTAATTCGGGTAATTTATAGTTTATATTTACAAAAATTTTGGAAAATTTTTGGAATTTAGAAAAATATTTTGAAGAAATGGCGCAAATTTAAGATCTGCGGGAAAATTTTTGACTTCACGGAAAATTTTGGTATGTCCGGAAAAAATTTTTTGGCGACAGGGGGAGGAAGTCGGCCAACAATTTCCATTGAAAAAAAATTTTCCGGTAGATTTTGAAGTTTTGCTCTATAGAGGTGCCCTTGGTGTGCGTCCGCCCCCCTTTGCCTTATTATCGTTCCAGCATTCCTGTATATATCATAAGACTCAACCAAAATAAACTGTTTATTAGGGCCTACAGTACATTCTTTACTATTATATTACATAACTACATGTATATTAAATATATTTAATACTAGGGGTTACTATCGCAAGGAAAGTGCTGCTTTGGATCCACAGGCAAATACTGAAACCTCAAATATATTAGCCTGCGCGGCAGGCGGTATTTCTACAGGCAGCGAAAATTAGGGAGGCCAAGGAAATACCGTCTGCCGCAAAACTAGGGGTTTTTGAATTACCCGTCCGCTGGTGAACGGGAAAAACGGATTGGTTAGTATTTTTATGTAGTTGTCAATCAACGGCTAAATTCGGTTAAATGTTAATCATTAACCAAATGTTTTGACGTTTTGAAACTCTGCGTTTTAAAATTAGTTCACGTCAAGTCAGACCAGAAATGAAATAACATAATAAAAGAAGCAAATTAAAAGATACAAGCTGAAAAATAACACTCTAAATAGTGTTATTGATAGAGATTCGAACAAGAATACTTAACAAAGAAGATACGTCCGAAGGGGCCGAGGTTATGATCGGCGAAAGGTATGGTCTAGTCTATATTTTCGTTCAGACAATTACATGCGTATATTAAATTTGATAATATACGATCTCGCTTGACTTTCAAAGGCCATAAATCGCAATAATGTTGACATTTTACTAAAACTATCGATAGAAATTAGGCGATATTTCTT